CTACATCACACACACACACATATACACGCACACGCGCAAACACACGCACACACACACACGCGCACACACACACACATACACACACACACACAGAGTGTGCACAGAAGACAACCTCAGCATGTTCCTCATACTTTCCCAAGAATCTCCCAAGGAGAAGAATGATGACAATACTGAACCAGGTGAGTCACCACGCTTCCTGTGAGTTGGTGTTAACAGAATAAAAAAGCAGTTTCGTGCTTCATTTACTCTACATAATCATGATAAAATTCTAAGCTCGTCGGTGATCAGATCCTTAGGATAACTAAAAGAAAAATAATGAAGGATTTGGGGAGGTAAGTATCAGGAGTAAAGTATGGAGTCTGAGTAAGGTACAGTACAAAAGTAAGGTATGGAATATGAGTAAGGCATGGAGTATGACTAAACTACTGCATATGGTTAATGTATAAAATACTGTGAAGTATGGAGTATAAATAAGGTATAGAATATGAGTAGGTCTGAAGATAAGTAAGGTATGAAGTATCAGTAAGGCATAAAGTATGGGTAAGGTAAAAAAAATATAGGTAACTGAACTATACATGTAAGAATGGTTAAGATAGTTTTATGTTCTGTGTACCTAACCACAATATTTTTTTTTAAAAGAATACAAGGCATGGAGTATGAAGAGGGGCCTGAGTATGGGCAAGTGATAGAATAGGAGTAAAGGTATGGAGTTTAGGTAGAGTATAGAATATAGGCACAGTATGGAGTATGACTAAGGATATGGACTATGAGTAAGGCAGTGAGTATAAATGACAAACTAGATACAGGTAAGTTATAGAGTATTAGGTAAGGCATTGCTATGGACTGAAAGGTTGTGTTAGAACCTTATCTCCAATGTCATGGTCTTTGGAAGTGGGGCCTTTGGGAAGTGATTAGGTCATCAGGGCAGAGCCCTCATGAATGCAATTAAGCACCTTTATAAGAGAGACCCCAGAGAACTTGCTTAGCCCATTAGCCATGTGATGAATAGTGAGAAGTGTCTATGAACTAGGAAGTGGACCCTCCCCAGACACAGAATTTGCTGGAGCCTTCATATTGGGTTTTGCAGACTCCAGAGCTGTGGGAAATAAATTTCTTCACTGATAAGCCCTCCAGTCTATGATATTCTATTACAAAAGCATGAAAGTACAATGACAGATATGGAGTGAGGGCAAGGTATAGAGTGTGTGTATCGTTTGAAGTGTGGATGGAGCATAGAATATGGGGAATGTATAGAGTAGAGGATAGGTGTAGGTGAGTTTCAGTAGTCAGGAGACAGCAACTGAGATAGAACATGAAAAAAGCTGAAAATTGATATTTTTATGCTGCTGTGTTAAGATCAGAATTGCTGTTATAGCTGGTGTATTCCAGACCAAAATGCCAGCAACAGCTAAATGGCATTGAAGAATGGACAGACTGACATCATCAAAGCAGACAGTTTAAAATTAACTCATAATGCAGATTTGAATATTTCATTTTCACATTAGCCAACCTGGGATAGCTTTGCTTAATTACCTTACTTTCTTAATAATGTGGGTTTTTTTCTTCAAATTTGTACAAGGAACGTTTTGGGCTGTCCTCTTTCCTTGAGATTTTAAACCCAAAGAGTTTCAGATTTAATTGCTTGGGCAAAGAAACCACCAAGAAGAACAAATATGAGTCAGCAATGCAGGTGCTACTTTCACCAATATGAGTAAAATATTGATTGTATGAGTGGAAGTATAGAGAAGATGGAAAGTCTATGAGGCGATTCTCATAAAATGAGCAGCAACATCTAGGTCTTTGAAAATGTGTTATGCAAAGAGAAAGTGGGCAGGGCAACGAAGAGAGTAACTATACACGTTTGGGAGAAAATCATTTTTGTCCACAGGCTAAAAAGCTTTGATTTCTTTATTCTTAATATATTTTATTGATTTTTTTACAGAGAGGACGGGAGAGAGATAGAGAGTTAGAAACATCGATGAGAGAGAAACATCGATCAGCTGCCTCCTGCACATCTCCTACTAGCGATGTGCCTGCAACCCAGCTACATGCCCTTGACCGGAATCAAACCCGAGACCCTTCAGTCCGCAGGCCAACGCTTTACCCACTGAGCAAAACTGGCTTTGGCTAAAGCTTTGATTTCTTAAGAAGTAAGTAAATAGAGTAGGAAATTTACAGGTCAAAATAGTTGAAAGGCAACTTGAAAAGAGATAGCAGTCAAATTTATAGCTCCAATAAGAAAACAACAGAATGAAACAAAATTTAAACAAGAGTTTTGACTATGAAATATCTAATCAGCTATGTCGATTGCCTCCTCAAGAAAAATTTTCAAAAGGGGCTATATCTGTGGCTAGTCCTGTTTTCTGGAATTGATGAGGTACAGCTTAGCACAAAAACTATTAAGCTAAATAATACACTGATTTTTTAAAAATCCTGAGATTAACTTATTAAAAACTACGTTGAATGAGAATTCATTTCCTTGGAAACTTTATCAAAACAATTTTGTATTTCCTTTTATAGAGACAAGTAACAAAAGAATGAAAATTCAATATCCTCAGGAGAGGCAGGTGTTATATTTCAGACACTAGAAATAATTTAGGCCAAAATAAATGCAATTAGCAGGAGGGGCAAGATGTAGCACTTTTATAATGGGCTTTTCCCTATACATTTTAGCATTTCACATACTTTACAGGAGCCATGTGCATGAGCTCAGACTCATAGCCTGAGTAGAGCAAGAAATAACTATAAAATAATGACTTTTTATTGGAAACCAGAAATTCTGTAGATAGGCTGATGTTTGTACTGGTAGGTGAGTCATTTAGAAGTTTGGGGGGGGAAAATCACAAGTTTGAGAAAACCCAAACCAATAAAAATATCTTCACTGGTTTATGCATAAGAAATGTAACAAACTAATTTTTTACAAAGTTATCAATACATTCTCTAATTCTGCTTGTGTTGCCTGTGCTTACATGCCATATCTATGAAATCATTGCCAAGACCAACATCAACAAGCTTTTCGTCTGTTTTCTTCTAGGAGTTTAAAGTTTCCGGTCTTATATTTAAGACTTTAATCTGTTTTTCGTTGATTGTTTTTCTGTCTGGTGTAAAACAATGGTCCAACTTTATTTTTTAGCTTGTGGTTATCCAGTTTCCCCAGCACCATTTGTTGAGGAGACCATCCTCTCCCCATCGTGTATCCTTAGCTCCCTTGTTGAATTACAGTTGCCCATATGCACATGGACTTATTTTTGGACTCTCTATTGTGTTCCTTTGGTTCATTGAAAATTGAAGCAGGGCAGTGAAGTGGAGGAAGGAAAGCCATGTCTGTAGGAGAGGACAGTGCATTCTGTGCTGCCGGTTACTAAGGAAGGCAAAGTCAAGAGAAGAAAGTGGGAGAGAAATGGGTGAGTTCAAAGTGCAGGTTTGCAAATGTGGACTTCAGTCCTGTGGCCTCTGCCTTTATGCAAGTACCATACTATTTTATTGAATACTAGTGGCCTGGTGCATGGATTCCTGCACATTGAAAGGAAGTTAATTAGAAGAAAGATTTGTGCGGTAATTATGTTACTGCCAAAAATAACATATCAAAATAGTATATATAGTATTATAAAATTAAAATACAAAATATTTTAATGTCGCTATTCACCCTTTCTCCATAATAGAAGTGTCAGAGATAAAATAAAATTAGTAAAATATATCTGAAAATAACATATGAATTGATTAATAAATAAACAACAACAACATGATATATCAACAACAAAGTGCCAAAAGTTGGTCTTCAGATACATTCTGGCATTACGCGCAATTGGCACCAGCAAGCACTTTATATGCATCGCGCATGCATGAGAGTCAATGTTTATTTTTAAATTGCCAGTGCATAATATATGCACCAGCCAGTCGGTTGGATGATCGGACAGATGTATGGTTGGTCACTTAGCCTTTTATATATATAGACTAGAGGCCCCATACACGAAATTTGTGCATGGGTAGGGTCCCTAGGCCTGGCCGGTGAATAGGGCCCGGTCTGCACCGTTCCTGGCAGTCAGCACACATCATAGAGAGCAGTTGAACTCCTGAGGGGACAATTTGCATATTAGCCTTTTATTATATAGGATAGGATAGTTTTGTCATATATTTTGAAAATCAGGCATGTGATGCCTGTTTTGTTTTTCTTTTTCAAGATTATTTTTGTCTTCTGGAATTTTTTTGTGGTTCCATATGAATTCTATAATTTTTAAAATATTTCTGTAAGAAATGTTATTGAAATTTTGATAGAGATTAAATTGAATCTGTGAATCATTTAGACATCTTAAACAAAATTAGACAAGTGAGATAATATCAAACTAAATATCTTAAGCATACCAAAGCAAACAATCAACAGAGTGAAAAGGCAAACTACAGAATGGGAGAAAATATATGCAAGCCGTATTTCTGATAAGGGTTAATTTCCAAAATATATAAGGAACTCCTACAAATTAATAGCAAAAAAACAAACAAATAATGTGATTTAAAAATAGACTAAAGACTTGAATAGACATTTCTCCAAAGCAGACCTACAAATGGTCAACAGGTATATGAAAAGATGCTCAATATCACTAATAATCAGGGAAATGCAAATCAAAATAAAGTGAGATATTATCTTACACCTATTAAGATGTCTAGTATTATCAAAATACCCAAAGACAGTAAGTGTTGGTGAGGATGTAGAAAACAAACTCTTGTGCATTGTTGGTGGGAATGCAAAATGGTGCAGCTGCTATGGAAAACACTATGGAGGTTCCTCACAAAATTAAAAATAGAAATATGATGCAGCAAGCCCACTTCTAGGTATTTATGCAAAAGAATTTAAATCAGGATTGCCAAGAGATAGGTGTACCCCCTATCACTGGTCATTGCAGTGCTCTTCACATTTGCCAAAAATGGAAACAATCTAAATGTCAATCAACAGACAAATAGGTAAAGAAAACGTGGAATACACATACAATGAAATACTACTATTCAGCCTTTAAAAAAAGGAAATTCTAAAATATGTGATAACTTGGATGAATCTTGAGAACATTATTCCAAGAAAATAAGCCAATCACAGAGGGACAAATATTGTATGATTTTATCTATATGAGGTATCTAAAATATTCAAATTTATAGAATTAAAAAGATGTGTATTTTTTTTAATTTTCACATACACATGGTATAGGGAAAGTAAATGAAGTGAAGCAGTGGTACTCGGACTGCACAGGAAGCTAACAAGACAAAGAAAAGTGGAGAGGGAAAAATGAACTTGAGGTTCCGCTCTGGGCTGGGTGTTTTGCATTTGCCATCGCATTTATTCTTCCTATCACTGAGCCAGTGTTTCTCCATAGAAACCACCTGGTATGGGTGACTTGTTCCCTGGGCCAGTCCATGACACTGTACTAAAGAATCATTTGTCTTAGGGGACATGCTCTTCTCCTTACACCACATTGGGGATCCGGACATGACAAAAATGCTCCTTCATCACTCAAAGGAGGGGAGAGGAGGAGGTGTTTCCTTAAGTATTTACTGTCAGCCAAAACTTTCTTTTCACAAACACTGGCATTGTAGAGTGGGGATGATGGATGTTCCTTTCAAATTACTGAAGATACTGAGTGCACCTGACCTTGCTATGAATCCCTAATGGTGGCAAACATTTTCTGTGCAGATGCAGTAGTAACAGGTCTCGGAATGTCACAGATACCTACCTTTCAGCACTGAATCTGAAGTCCCTTCCAGGGAAACAGAAATGGCCCAAGGCTCTGATGGCAGCCCCAAGGACTCTACTCTCCGATTCTGAGAACAGGGGGGGAAAAACCACAGTAAAAGTTGGATTCAGAAGAGAATCTGTGAAATTATGTATAAAAGAAGAGAATTTAGAATAGAATCTTGCATAAAGCACAAATTCAGTACAAAAAGCAAAGGAAAAAAATTGTAATAAGCATTTTCTTTCTCATGTTAAGAATATATCATGATTAGCATATTGAGAGAAGAGAAGGGATATTATTACAGAAAAAGTTGAAGCAGGGCAGTGAAGTGGAGGCAGGAAAGCCATGTCTGTAGGAGAGGACAGTGGCATTCTGTGTTGCCGGTTACTAAGGAAGGCAAGGTCAAGAGAAGAAAGTGGAAGAGAAATGGGTGAGTTCAAAGTGCAGGTTTGCAAATGTGGACTTCAGTCCTGTGGCCTCTGTTCCTCTGCATGCATGTCAGGGGATGCATTTTAAAAGTAAAGAGAGGAAAGCAGATTTAATTAGCTTATTTCACTTTATTTTCTTCCATAACTTTAGTAAATACAGAAAAGATAAAATAGAAACAGAGGGCATGGCCATTGAAATTAGAATTAAGCAGTGAAACCTCTTGCTAATGATTTGCTTAACCACCTATGAGAGAAATCATTTAAAATAACATAAAACTGGAAAACAATAAAGATTTTAAAAATCCTACAGCCAAACCGGTTTGGCTCAGTGGATAGAGCGTCGACCTGCAGACTGAGAGGTCCCGGGTTCGATTCCGGTCAAGGGCATGTACCTTGGTTGTGGGCACATCCCCAGTGGGAGTGTGCAGGAGGCAGCTGATCGGTGTTTCTCTCTCATCGATGTTTCTAGCTCTCTATCCCTCTCCTTTCCTCTCTGTAAAAAATCAATAAAATATATTTTTAAAAAATAAAAAATAAAAAATCCTACAAAACTATAATGCAGATGTGATGGCATGAATTCCCTCATTAGCATATGAAATGACTTCTTCAGATATAGTTCTACCTCTTTGAGAAGGTCAGATTTCCGAGAAGATGCTAGAGATCTACTTCAAGAATTTGCTTGGGGAGGAAAATTATCCAAATTATATTTTTACTCTTAATCAAAATCTGGGCATCCATATGAAGCAGAAGGAAAGCAGGCCATGAAGTGGGAGGATGACAGAAGTCACGAGAAGTTCTAAGTGCAGCAAATGTCACCCAGGAGGCACTCTGTAAGTATGTACCATGACAATGGAATCTGTACTGAGTACATGTTACCCAGCTTTAAGGATCACCGTGAACAAGTTACCTGCTTATCCAGAAAAATGAGCTGTGGTTGTACTGGAAGCTCTCTCCCCACTTCTCCATCTGAAGGCTGGACTAGGACTGAAAGAGCATAGGGTCGAACATATATCGAGTTCCCAGTTTTAAAATTGCTTGTATTTCTGACACATGTAAAACAAAATGGAATAAAGCCATAAGCTTACAAATATTACTGTAGTAGCTATTTGCCATAATCCATTATTAGCAGTGAAAATATCTGCCTTTGAATCTAGAAAATAAAACCCTCTGTAGTGAACATTACATTGTAACTGAATAATAATTATATTTTTATTTAACACTAGAAGCCTGGTGCTCGAATTTGATGGGGGCCGATTGGGTTGGGTCGGTGAGGGGATAAGGGAGGTTAGACACCCCCGCCCCCAATAGGGGATTGCCAATCAGGAATGGTGACGGTGGAGGTGGGGGTGGGGGCACAAGTGGTGTGCGTCACAGCGACCGGTTTTTCTGGTCATTCCAGTCGATCCGTAGTTCTGGTTGCTTGGCTTTTATATATATAAATCTTTGCTAAGCCATGGTAAAGAATGGACTGGGTGTGAGGGGGTGGGGGCAGAAGCACTAATTATGAACTTATCTTTTTATCACTGTTTAATGATATAAGCTCCCCAAAGACCCCAGTGAAGGAATTTAGCAGATTATAAGACTTAGACAGTAGGGATATGTTCAGTAGTATGCCAGTGAACCAGCTCTCCCCTCAAAGACCCTGATGCCTAGTGTTTCCCAGTTCCCATGGTATGAATACTTTCTCCATGGCCGATTCTGGTACCAGGATGACATCAGTGGGAGCTGAGAGGAGGTGCCTGAGAGCAAAGCCCCAGCACAGCTGTTAGACATGGAAGCTCATTTAGCCCCACAACAGCCCTTCCATACTTGTCATCTCCATACTGTGCTTGCACTAAATAGGTTCAATAACCATGGAATTAACTGATTTTTCTTTTAATTTTAATGAATGAAGCCTTTGGGGAGAATAATACTCATAATTAATATATGCTGAGTACTGTGTACCAGGTACTATTCTAAGCTTTCCTTGTATAAACTCATCGCATCTTTAAAATGACACTATGAGGTAGGTACTCTTATTTATACATGAAGAAACGGAGGTCCAAAAGGACTAAAGCAGCGGTTCTCAACCTGTGGGTCGCGACCCCTTGGGCGGTTGAACGACCCTTTCACAGGGGTCACCTAAGACCACCCTGCATACCAGATATTTACATTACAATTCATAACAGTAGCAACATTACAGTTATGAAATAGCAACGAAAATAATTTTATGGTTGGGTCACAACATGAGGAACTGTATTTAAAGGGCCAGAAGGTTGAGAACTACTGGACTAAAGTAACCGGCCAAAGGTCTTACAAATAGTACGTGCATGACCAAGAGCAATTTACCAATGAGCTATATTGTTTCTCACCCCTTTCAGGCACATTAATTGCTGATGTGACTTAGCAATAAAATAGAATAAATAAAATAAAATGGTTATATAATTCATGATACCTTAAAACGTGTGTTTCCAATAGATTTGGTATTTTTGATGACCAAGAGAGCTTTATTAAAAGGACATTATAGCCCTGGCCAGTGTGGCTCAGTTGGTTAAGTGTCATCACATGCACCAAAAGGTCACCTATTTGATTGCCAGTCAGGGTACATACCCAGGTTGCCTGCTCAATCCCCAGTAGAAAGCATGCAGGAAGCAGCTGATTGATGCTTCTTTCTTATCGATGTTTCCCTTTCCCTCTCTCTTTTTCTTTCTCTCTCTCTCAAATTAATAAAAACATTTAAGAAAAACATTATAGATTATATATCTACTTAGAAGCCCAGTACATGGGATTCATGCACTTGTTGGGGCATGGCCTGCAGGGATATGCCTGCTGTGGGAGCAGTGCTCATCCCCAAGTGACTGTGGACCCACCCTCTGAGTGGCTGCTCCTGCTGTGGGAGCGCACTGACCACCAGGGGGCAACTCCTGTGTTGAGCATCTGCCCCCTGTTGGTCAGTGTATGTCATAGTGACTGATCAACCGATCATTCTGGTCATTCCGCCCTTTGGTTGCTGGGCTTTTATTATATAGGATCAAGCCTATTATGTACTATACATCATAGGCATATAACAGATGTTTAGCAATTAAATGGAAATCTAAAAGATAAACATCATATATCACATATATTACCCTAATATAGAACATCCCATAGTGACTTATCCTCTATACAACTTAAGTCAAGTCTAACAAAAAAAAGATTTGATTTTTTTTAAGTAGCTTATCCTGCTATCAATTAAATGCTTGAATCAGATACTTTATTCCCAACCTTTTATTTTAATTTGTGTATGAATGTGAGGAGAAAAGAATAAAATATTTATTTGGCATGGAAGGTGTATGTCAGATAAAAGTGACAATCAACCCTAGAAAGAGGAAATACAGTGGATCACAAACTATGAAGTTTCCGTAGGAAGCAATTTCCCTCCCCCCGAGAATTCTGGGATATGGGTCAGAGTAGTCCTAAGAGCCCTCTTTGGTCAGCTAAGGCTCTGACCTGTGCTACAGTCGCTCACTAGAAACTGAACATACAATAGCCCCATCACCATTTATTAGTTTGCTTAACCTGAGTGGGCAAGGCCCCCTTTTAATTTTTTTAAAGGGAATAATTGAAAACAGATTTTTTTAAAAAAAAAAATCTATGCTATTAATTCTATTCTTCTATGGGTCTCAGATTATTGGAAAATTCTAACATTGTTACCAGCTCCTATTTCTCCCCTAACCTAGTTCTTAAATGCTTTCTGGTGCGGGACAGAATTTAGGCCAGCAGCGTGGGCTAAAGAAACTGAAAGGCTCCGTCAAAGACCCTGACACAAGAACACTGATGTCTGCAGATGAAGGGACGGGAACCAACTGCCTGAACACCCGCTGAAAGGCCTGCCCCTGACACACTTTAAAGTTTATTGTGAGCAAACATCTCTTATTAAATGTAAACAGCATCTCACTGGAGGTCAGAGACTTGCTGCTACAGCATATCCCAAGGTAATACCACTTTAAGCTCCACATAAACTCTTAAGCAGTTTCTATCCTAAAACCTGACCGTAGGTGGTACAGTTTTTTACGATATGTTATAATAGTGCAATAAATCTGTTAGCTTAAAATCGAATCTCCGTGGCCTTTTAGAGAAATCATCATTAAATGCAGGGTCCTGTTAATGATGCCATCGAAGTGAAATTGTTTAATCTGCTAAGGGGGTGAAAGGTCACCAAATGAATTTTTTATAATACATCAACTTGACACGCAATAGGGAAAACTGTAATAGATAAAAGCAAAGGAAAAGGGCACTGTCTTCTTCTGATAGGTCAATAGCAGCCAAGAGAGTCACTCATCCACTTTCCTTTCACGATGGGGCTCCTTTTGCATTTAATATGGACACCCAATTAATACCTCAGCACCACAGACAACCTCATTTTAGGTGACTTATAGCAATTTCTCCCCCTTCCCTGAAATGAAAGTGATCACAATACATCATAGCATTGTGCGAATTAACGTTAATTGATTCAAGTTACCAAGCAATGATGGGCCACTTATATAATCTAGGCGTTATTGGGTGCTAGAAGGGATGGAGGGAAGATTAGATTCCAGTGTCCGTTGCTGTGACGACGGGAGTCACCTGACACCTTGTTAGACAGTTGTAAGGTTCTATTGCTGGCCCCAGTGGGGTCGTCAGTAAACTGGAGTGATGTCCAAACATCATTATACGCTGCTCCAATATTAAAGCAAAGGGATTAGCAACTTATTGCAAGCAACCTGGATTTGTCATTGTGCTGTCCTTATCCAATTTCCAACCACTAATGTGACTGTAGCCTGCGGGCAGAAAGACCTACAGCCAAACTTTAAAAAATGGGGGAGGAAAGTTCCCTCCAATCCTCCCAGTTCTAACCACTAGTTAACAGCTTCCAACACCCAGTCAAGTGTGTGAAAGAATCCCCTCACCCCTTTCAAGGCTCAGTGTAAACTAAAAGAAAGATAAAGAGAATTCAGAAATTTCCCAGTTCAGAAATCACCACTATGCATCTCAACCCTTGCTTTTCCATTTGCCAGATCCAAACTGCTTACCCTCTAAAGGGAGTGGGGGGGTATTTATATTTGCATGACAAATTCAGTAAATAAATAAATCCTATTGGTGAAAGCTAGCTCTGGGCA